CGTTACGACGACGACGTGGATGGAGTTGCTGCCTTCACAAGCGACCTGCGTCGAGTGGATTGGCCAGCCGGCTTCAAGCCGACTGGAATCGAGAAGTATGACGGCACCACTAACCCTGAGACTTGGCTCACCGTCTACAGTCTCGCAATTCGCGCAGCAGGAGGAGACATCAAAGCTATGGCAAACTATCTGCCCGTGGCCCTAGCGGATTCTGCCCGGTCCTGGCTTCACGGGCTACCCCGTGGCACGATCGGATCTTGGGCGGAACTTCGCGACCACTTCATTGCCAATTTTCAAGGCACCTTTGAACGCCCTGGCACCCAGTTCGATCTTTACAACATTGTCCAGAAGTCCGGAGAATCCCTTCGAGATTACATCCGACGTTTTTCCGAGCAACGCAACAAGATCTCCGATATCACCGACGACGTCATCATCGCCGCCTTCACCAAGGGCATTCACCATGATCTCTTAGTTGGCAAGTTTGGACGCAAGCCTCCCAGGACAGTCAAGCAGATGTTCGAGAAAGCCAATGAGTACGCAAAAGCCGAAGATGCCGTCACCGCATCTAAGCAGTCGGGCACCACTTGGAAGCCGAAGAAAGATACGCCGACCACAGGAGGGAGTGGAAGTACCAATCACAAGGATCGCAAGCGTAAGCCCGAGGAACTTGTGGCAACCACTACACCATCCTCCCGACAATGTTCGCGCGTCAACACTTTCGACAAGATCATGAACTCTCAATGTCCGCATCATCCAAATTCCAACCATGCGGCCAAAGACTGCTTCGTTTACAAACAGTTCGCAGAGCAATACGCCAAGAACGCACGCAAGTCGACTTACAGAGATCAAAGCACATCAAAGAAGAAGGATGATGAAGATGATGCCCCGACTGGTTTCCAAGACCCCCGCAAGGAGCTCAACCATATCTTTGGCGGACCCCTGGCTTATGAATCCAAGCCAAAGCAAAAGCTGACTGAACGGGAGATCAATGCTGTTCAGCCCGACACGCCCCAATATCTTCGGTGGTCAGAAACAACTATCAAGTTTGACCGCTCGGATCACCCTGACCGAGTGGTCCACCCAGGGCGGTACCCCCTGGTACTAGACCCAGTGGTTTGCAACATCAAGCTCCGAAGATCCCTGATCGATGGTGGCACTGCACTCAATATCCTTTTCGCCAAGACTCTGGACGACATGCAAATCCCTCGCACGGAATTGAAGCCAAGTAATGCGCCCTTCCACGGAGTCATCCCCGGGCTGTCTTCTACTCCACTCGGCTAGATTACTCTGTCGGTTACTTTCGGCACTCGAGAGAACTTTCGCACAGAGAATATTTGCTTCGAAGTTGCTGATTTTGAGACAGCGTACCATGCCATACTCGGACGCCCGGCGTTAGCCAAGTTCATGGCTGTCCCGCACTACACCTACATGATGATGAAAATGCCAGGTCCCCGAGGAGTCATATCCCTGCGGAGTGACATCAAGCAAGCTGTCACTTGCGACAAGGAAAGCTGCGAGATAGCCCAGACCCGCGAGATTGCGCTCGCTCGAGAAGAAATCCGACTGGCTGCGTCCACTGCAACCGAAGGAGAAGTGTCTGCAACCAAGATGTCAAAAGGCGGAGAAGGCGACGCCAAGACCGAGAAGATTCCTCTAGATCCCTCTGACCCTACTAAGACTGCTGTAATAGGCGCTAAGTTAGATTATAAATAGGAAAGCGTGCTCATCACCTTTCTTCAAAATAATAAAGATATCTTTGCGTGGAAACCATCTGATATGCCTGGTATTCCTAGAGAGGTGATTGAGCACTCTTTACATGTTAAGGAAGATGCTAAACCTATCGAGCAACGACTCCGCCATTTCGCACAGGATAGGAAGGATGCGATCAAGGAGGAATTGACCAAGCTGTTAGCAGCAGGCTTCATCAAGGAAGTCCTACATCCTGACTGGCTGGCCAATCCAGTCCTGGTTCGGAAGAAGACGGGGCAATGGCGCATGTGTGTTGATTACACCGACCTCAATAAATCTTGTCCCAAAGATCCCTTTGGGTTACCTCGCATTGACCAGGTAGTTGATTCAACGGCTGGCTGCGAGTTACTCAGTTTTTTGGATTGCTACTCAGGATATCATCAGATCCGACTAAAGGAGTCCGACTGCTTGAAGACTTCGTTCATCACGCCCTTCGGGGCCTACTGCTACATCGCCATGCCTTTTGGATTAAAGAATGCAGGAGCAACTTATCAACGCATGATACAGAGATGCTTTTCAACTCAGATTGGTCGCAACGTTGAAGCTTATGTTGATGATGTAGTTGTCAAGACCAAGCAGAAGGATGATTTGATTACGGATCTAGAAGAGACCTTTGCGAGCATCCGCGCTTTCAGGATGAAATTAAACCCTGAAAAGTGCATCTTCGGAGTACAGTTAGGGAAGCTACTTGGCTTTATGGTGTCCCATAGAGGCATACGAGCCAACCCGGAGAAAATCAACGCCATCATCAACATGAAACCATCGAGTTCCCAGAAAGATGTTCAAACGTTAACTGGATGTATGGCGGCGTTCACTCGATTTGTCTCACGACTCGGCGAGCGGGGGATGCCCTTTTTCAAGTTGTTAAAGAAAACCGACAACTTCCAGTGGGGACCTGAAGCACAAAAAGCCTTTGAAAACTTCAAGAAACTTCTCACTACTCCACCAGTCTTAGCTTCACCACATCCGCAAGAGCCGTTGTTGTTATACGTGTCGGCGACTTCCAAGGTTGTGAGCACGGTCCTGGTTGTCGAGTGTGAGGAAGAAGGCCATCTTCAAAAAGTCCAACGACCAATCTATTTCGTCAACGAGGTTTTGGCCGACTCCAAGACAAGATATCCTCAGGTTCAAAAGTTGTTATATGGTGTTTTGATTACCGTTAGGAAATTATCTCACTATTTTCAAGATCACTCGTTACGGTGGTTACATCGTTTCCACTCGGGGATATACTTCAAAACCACGAAGCATATGGGCGGATCACAAAGTGGGCCTTAGAGTTGATGTCTTTGGATCTATCCTTCAAGCCGTGAACTTCGATCAAGTCCCAAGCTTTAGCAGACTTCGTTGCCGAGTGGACCAAGTGCCAAGAAGACACGCCTGCAGAGAAGATCGAGTATTGGACTATGCATTTTTATGGGTCAAAGAGGCTTTCAGGCACCAGAGCGGGGGTTGTTCTAATCTCCCCGACTGGAGAGAGGTTGAGCTACATATTGTGGATACATTTTTCTGCGTCCCATAACGTGGCGGAATATGAGGCGCTACTTCACGGATTAAGGATTGCGATCTCCTTGGGAATTCGGCGTCTGATAGTTTGTGGAGATTCTCAGTTGGTTGTTAATCAAGTCATGAAAGAGTGGTCCTGCCTTGATGATAATATGACCGCCTATCGGCAGGAGGTACGCAAGTTAGAAGATAAATTTGATGGCCTTGAGCTGACCCATGTTCTTCGACATAATAATGAGGCAGCCGACAGACTGGCTAATTTTGGTTCAAAACGAGAAGCAGCTCCTTCCGACGTGTTGTTGAACATTTTTATGAACCAACTGTACCGAGGAAAGAAATAGTCGAGGCCACGGACACTCAAGAAGTAAGCATGATTGAAGCCGACTGGAGAGAGCCCCTCATTAAATTTTTAACCAAGCAAGAACTCCCTCCAGATAAAAACGAAGCCGAGCGAATCTCCAGGCGCAGCAAACTTTATGGCATACACAAGGCCGAATTGTACAAGAAAAGTCCATCGGGGATTCTGCAACGCTATGTGTCTTTGGAGGAAGGAAGGCAATTGCTAAGAGATATACATTCAGGCATCTATGGCAATCACGCTGCCACACGAACCATTGTTAGCAAGGCCTATCGGCAGGGTTTTTTCTGGCCCACCGCTGTATCTGATGCTGACATAATTGTGCGAACATGTGAGGGTTATCAATTTTTCACCCGACAGACTCATCTACCGGCTCAGGAGTTGCAAACCATCCCGTTATCTTGGTCGTTCGCGGTTTGGGGGCTCGACATGGTTGGCCCATTCAAAAAAGCTATCGGTGGTTATACTCATCTCTTTGTAGCTGTTGATAAATTCTCCAAGTGGATCGAAGCCAAACCAGTCGTCACAATCACGGCAGACAAGGCTATAGATTTTTTTCATCAACATTGTGCACTGGTTTGGGGTACCTAATCGGATCATCACTAATAACGGCACTCAATTCACCGGCGGAGTATTTAAAGATTCCTTTGAAGACTTCGGCATCAAAATTTGTTATGCCTCCGTAGCGCATCCCATGAGCAATGGACAAGTCGAACGCGCCAATGGTATGGTACTTTAAGGAATAAAAGTACGAGTTTTCGACCAATGGTATGGACAAGTCTTTGCGATTTCGTAACTTCAAGGAGGAGCGCTACGGAGAAGACCGAGTGGATGATCTCAACCGACTGGAAGAAGCCCGTGAAGCAGCCTTAATCCAGTCGGCTCGGTATTTACAAGGGATACGACGTTATCACAATCGCAACGTTCTTTCACGAGCTTTCTTAGTCGGAGACCTGGTTTTGAGGAAAATTCAAACTACACGAGATCGGCATAAGCTATCTCCCTTATGGGAAGGACCATTCATAATTTCTGAAGTTACTCGGCCAGATTCTTATCGACTCATGTGTGAAGACGGTACTCATGTTGACAACTCTTGGAATATTGAGCATCTTCGTCGTTTTTATGCTTAGGCATTACTTTTGTATCTTCCTCTTTGACTACTAACATCAAGTTGTTCCTTGAGTTACCAGTCGGGGGCTACTATAATAATAATGGAGTGTGATTTTTATCAATTCAATTTGCTTACTTGATTTATCATTGTCTTGTTTGATTTTTTAGCTTAGCCAATGAGGACTGAAAGTTTTTAACAACTTTTGCGGGTTCTAGGCTCAATAAGGTTTGATAAAAACTTTTAAGAAATCTAGAGCTGAGTTTAAATCATCAAGCACAGCATAAATTCATCAGTATTGTACAAATTGTGCCTCCATCATCATCATCATTATCATCAGAATACACAATCAATCAGATTCAGTTTTTTAATCATTAGAGTTATCAGACCCAGTCGGCTTAAGATCGTTGTCCTGTAACCTCTCAACTACATCAGCGGCTATCTTGTCGGCAGCTTTTTGCGCATCACTGATGAGGTCAAGGGCGGCTTCCTCACTTGTCCCGTCTGCGAAGCCGTCAACAACATCAATATCAATCTTCGGGTACAAGGACTTGGTCATCGCCAACTCTAGACTTGCCCCCATACTTCCAGCTTCTTTGATGTTCTTAAAATATGTATCCGGAGCAGTTCTAAGCTTGTCGAAGATTTCGACAGCATCAATTGAACTCGGACCATTGTTATTGAAAAACATGGCCTGGACGAGTGGCGTAGCGGCATTGGCGACTTCATCTCTAGCTCCTTCAAGCTTCTTGATTTTGTTAACCAAGATGTCGAATTGAGCCTGGGATTTGATTTTGCGATCTGTACAAATAAATTCACATCAATGACTGGGCATGAAGATGAGAGTGGTTTTTGAAGTTTCAGCTACAAGTACCTTCGACATCTTTCAGAGCCGAGTCCCTCTGTTTTGCCAGTTCGACCTTGTCTTTCTCCAGAGCCTGGATTCGCCTTTCTAGCTTGGATATCTTGGCAGCTTTCACTATATTGCTTTCCACTGGTTAATCGCACATGAATAGCAGCATGAAACAAATCAGATAAGGATGAGAGTTACCTTTTGATGAACCACTTAGCTCAAAGTTGGAGTCTTGGAGCTCGGCGATCCGGTCTCTAAGGTCATGCTCAGTCTTCCTAGCAAGCTCCTTGGCTTCACGCAGTTGATCTCTGGTTGCTTCCAGGGTTCCAAGGTGGGGAACCAATTTCTCGAGGATTGCAGTTTTTGCCTCATTTCTAAGATGGATTCTCTGCATTACAAGTGCGTCTTTATTCAGTAAAGTGGCCGACAGGATGATTGAAGCTGTATGTAAAGAGACTTACATTTACAAGACGGGTAGCTTGTCCAAGTGTCTTTTTCAGCAGACACACTTCCTCGTCTTCCTTCTGTTTATTTATCACGATTCCCTGTGGATGCATTTCATCGTCTCACCACTTGACTAATATGGGTGGGCGAGAATCTTCAGCCGATCGTATCCGGAGGACCTCTTCTTTGTCACCAATCATTGGGCCTTATATATTCATGAATAATGGTGAGACAATTGAAGAAAGTTTGTTGGATCAAAACGGATTTGGAGGACTTGTTTACCTGTTATGATTTCCGGTCGGGGATGAGCAGGTCCTTTTATCCTAACAGGAGAGTTGGATCCCGGGTCAACACCAGCGTCCTTCCTGGGAGGGCTGTTAGCTTGAGTTTCTACTTCTGGGATGTCCTTATTTTGTTCTGTACCCGACTGGTCTCTAGTCGGGGGCTCCTGTTCAACATTGGCTTCAGCTTCGGCCAACTGGTTTCCAGTCGGGGGCTCGTTGCTGGCCTCTACATTATCGGTTGCTGGTTGATTATCACTCGGGCGACCTTCGGCGGTCGGCCTGGTTTCTGTTGAAGGACTAGTCTCCGCGCCATTCGGCTCAGGGTCTTTTCCGGAAGGATCTATATCAGATGGCTTCCTGCAAGTTTGAGATATGCTATCAGTACTACTTCAATAGTGAGTGACTGGCGATACAAAGGAAATTGCTAAACGACTTGTACCTAGATGATTTCCTGATTTTTGGTATGGGACGACTGGATGTCTTCTTCTTTGGATTGGCTTGCCTTGGCTGTTTTTCGGTCACCCCTTTGTTGCCGGCATCATCACCTTCATCATCGCTCAGGACCAATTTCCTCTTACGGGAGTCTGACTGGTTAGTCGATTTCGAGGTGTTTGGTTGAGTATCGGACCGAATTTTTTGTACTCCACTCGCCTGACTAGTCTGCCGACGGGGCGAGCGATGTTGAGCAATTGGAGGATCCGACTTCATCAAGGCAAATTCCTGGGCATGATATTCCAAGCTTTCAATTAACTTTGCAGAAGATAAAAGCATGCTTTTGAGAAGGGCTGAGATGTTTGATACATACCCGCGGAGGAGGGTTGAAGGCGTTGTATGGCACCACTGGCAACAAGTGCGAATAACTGACCACGATAGCATTCGAGAAGATTTTGTACATTCTCTCCTTCATGACTTTAAACTCAAGAGAATCTAGATCTTCACGGTTAGGGTCATGCTTGCCGTCAAACTCAAAGGTTGTGCGGGATCTCTCTTTAATTGGCGCTAGTCGGCTTTTAATAAAATGCCGGGTGATCTGCTCTCCTTGCAGACCTTGCTCTTTGAGCTTCAGCATGCGATCGATCAGGGCAAGTGCTTGGGCCACCTCATCTCCCATGGGAAGCGAGTTCCAGGTGTCTTGATATACTGGAGGTAGACAAGAATACTCGGGAAGCGCTGGCTCGGGATTTTGCACATAGAACCAATTTGCATGCCAACCCTTATTCGAAGTTTTGAAGGGCATGGAAAAGTATTTTTGGCTCAAGGTTCCCCTTAGTTGGAAACCGGCTCCCCCGACAACACATGGTTTGCTCTTGTTTGGCTGAGGCTTGAGGAAGAAGATGCGACGGAACAGGGAAAAATGCGGTCTTATACCCAGGAAAGCCTCGCAAGCATGGATAAAATTGGCAATGTGGACTATGGAATTGGGGTTTAGGTGATGCAAACTAATCCCATAAAATTCCAAAATCCCCCGGAAGAATCTTGAGGTTGGAAGAGAAAATCTTCCATAGAAGAAATGAGAAAATACCACGACCTCATGTGTGTCAGGGGTTGGAAATGCTTCGCCGCACGCCGGACGCCACCCAATGATCTCCTTTGCCGGAAGAACGCCGTGCGCCACCATCTCCTTCAAGTTTTCCTCTGTCACATCAGAGGGCACCCACTGACTTTCAAAGCTTTCTCTCTCCTCTGCCATGGATGCAAATTGGATGATGCGATTTGGTTTGAAATATGGCCGGGAATGGATAGGAGATCGATGCGGTGGTTGCGCGGAAGATTTTTGTGGAACTTTGGAGGATGGATTGGAGGGGATTTGTGAACCCTAGCTTCACCGAAGTGATTTCGCACTATAGCAGTGAGTAGGGAAAGTGGCAAGAGTTTCGGCGGGGAAGACAAAACGACGCTATGCCTTCGGTGTTATCTCATTAGGGTATCGGGAGTACTAATGGGCCTGGGCCTAAACAGTACTTCAGCCCAGTTTTGCTATCAGCGTGGTTAAGTTGTGATCCTTAGGGGCTTAGGCATTTGTTTTTGCTTTGGCAACACTTGCTCACGACAATATAGCCCAATGCTGTTAAAATCCTTTTTGACGCAGTTAGATAATTCTGTGGAATTACTACAATGCAAATAAAAAGGTGCCTGACAGAAAAGTGTTATACTGATTTTGTAGGCCTTTTTAGGCTGCAAAAACTATTTGGGTTTTGTTGAGGTGACTGGTTTTTGAATAGTCATTCTCTCGGCATGTTATATGCTTATTTTGATTATGACGTGAGTCATGGCCTAGGTTATTTAGACTCATCGATTTATATCACATTTGATGGATCTTTTTGAGAGTTTTTACTCGGATTCTTGTCATATGTGTTGGATTATGGACCTTATAGTATTTTTTACTCGGGTTTCTTTATATTTCCATTTTTGGTATATCAAAGCTAAAGCAGTCGGCTGGATATTTTATCAAACGTCTCATATGCTTAGTTGTATGATACTTTGGATGATTCGGTTGTAAAACCACTCGGTTGGATGTTATTTACACCTTGACTATATGTTTAGTTTTTTTAACTAATCACTTAGTCGGGGGCTACACCTAATTAGGTGCATCTAGTCGATGCACCTGATTTTTTCTATTTTCAGCCATTCACAGTCTTTGATTTTGATACTCGGGAGACCAAGGCAGAAGAAGTTGGAGTGCTCGGATTATCGTTTGGGATTACGAGAGAAAACTATTTTGTTGACTGTAAAGGTCTCAGGGGCTACTGTGGAGATTATGGATACCCCATACCTACACGGCATGTATAATCCGACTAGGTATGGGGTGCCATGTATAGATAGAATATCTTTAAAGGGACTTGGGTTAAATTCCAAACTTGTATGTTAAGGAAATACTCGGGATCTTAGTCGGTTACGATTGAATCTTATCTGTAACTACCTATTCCGTTAGGGATATGGACTGTATTTTGTAATACGGACCCCTTCCCCTATATAAGGAGGGGTCCGGGTGCCTCTTGGGGCACGATCTGCTCCCAGATCATACGATCAATAATACACTCGGTGGATCAATCCCCGGACAGGAGTAGGGTATTACTTCTTGTTAAGAAGGCCTGAACCTGTATAAAATTCTTTGTTTCTCAACCCCATCCACTTTTCCAGCTTGATAGCCACCCCCTTTTAGTATTGCCGAAATCTTGTTTCGACAAATTTCAATCAAATTTTCAATTTTGATGTGAACTAAACACACCCATAGTAGGATGCATGAGATCGTGAGATGAGTAAACTCAAACTTGCTTAAGGTTGGGAATCGCTGATTGGTAACTACATTAATTGGCCCTCATAATTTTATCCATCCAAATTCCCCATTGGACCATTACTTACACTTTTGTAGGGTGATTACTGGAGGGACGACACAGGGCACAATTCTCTACTGCTTGTACATGCTTCAGAGCTGCAAAAAAAATGACAATTTGACCCTTTCAGAAAACTTATTTCGCAAATAAACCGCGCACAAAACTTATTTCAAAAATAAACCAGAGGTTCAGCGCCAAATGCTTCGGCACTGAGCTTAGCCACCTCAGTGCCAGGTCAACCGGCACTGAATGTCGTGCCACCGTGGATGGCACGCCGACTCAGTGTGCCGACGTGTCAAAGTTCAGCGCCACCCGACTCGGCGCTGAGGTGGCTAAGCTCAGCGCCATTGTATTTGGCACTGAAGGGGGGAACTTAGTAGCTGTGCCGAGCATTATGGTATGGCTGGCTGCTCTGCTAGATCTCAGCGCCAAATAGGTTGGCACTGAGTATGGCTGGTTCCGTGCCGGGTGGTTTGGCGCTGAGATATATTTGACAGGCTTAAAACTATGTTTACTTCTGACACATTTGGAGTTAAGTGAACACAGCAAAAAATATGCAGTCATTCGGTTGATAACCAGTGCGCAACCAAAGCAATGTTGCGAAGTGAAAGTCACAACTAAGCAAACCATTTAACATATATAGAAGCAGTACTTAACTAGAGAACAAGTCTTAGCCATACATAAGAAGGTCCATAGAACCCCGCAAAAAAAAAAGGTCCATAGAAGTGCCTAACAGCCATAGGTGCAAAAGTGATGCTAATTCTGACAGCCTTACATGACGAGGTCCATACAAAAGTCATATTCAGCATAAGTTGTGCACATCAACTTGGAGGATACCAGGACAATACTTACAATAACTGAACCATTACCATCGCTTATATACAAACCTGCCGAGATTTGCGGCTCCTGGAGATTTTTGAGCTGGCGTGGCCACCTGCGCGTGCCGACGCGTCAGCGAGGCGCTGGATGGCGGGTGGTTTTCGTGAGCTCTCGCACGTCCGTGTCGTCGTTGGTGATTTTGCAAAAACACCCTTCATTTACTTGATAATTTGTTATAGATCCCTGGTCCTTAGTTCTAACGTTGTGCACTCTTACTTAGAGGACCTCTTAAGAAAACAATATTCTATATGAAGAAGCGAAAAAACGGAAAATTGAACCGCGCTCTGAAAACTAGAAGTTTAGGGGTTGTTTTTGCAACCCTCACCCCTTTCCCCAAACCCTAGCCGCCACCATTCCTCTGCCTCCTCTCCTCTCGCTCCGCTCTCTCTCCTGCCCAAGCGACGGCCGCCGCCGCGTGCCGTCCCCTCATCCTCTTCTTCCCGCAGTTGGCGACCTCCCCCGCGCACTCCCTACTGCGAGCTGTTGCTGTCGCCGCGCCGTCGTCCTGCCATCGCCATCCTCTCGCTCCCGCGCCGCATCCGCCAACGAGGAGGCCGGGACTGTCGGATCCGGTGACTCCGGCCTCCTCGCCGGCAGATCCGGCCGCCCTGAAGTGAGGGGAAGCCAGGAGCCGCCTTCTACTCTTCTACCTCTATGCCCGGCACTGCCCCTCTCTCCCTCTCCCTCTCCCTCTCCATCCTGTTCATTTCCGGATCAGCGGATGCCTGCGATTAGGCGGCCACGGACGTGCGTGTGGGACGTCGAGGAGACGGGGAATCACTGGATCCAGGAGGTCGGTGAACCGATTTGGAGAGGGAGCTGCATGATCTGTGGCATTGGTGTACCGTTTCGGACAGCGGCGGTCTCCAGTACGGCGGGTGCTGCTGGATCTGCCGCATGGAGGGCTCCTCGTCAGCTCCGTCCTACCTCTTCTTCTGCCTTTTTGGAAGGAGGTGAGGAGAGGAAAGTTTCCTCTGGAATTTCATACTGCATGTTATATCTTTGCCAAGTTGGTGGTCTTAGTGTGATACTGTGATTAATTTGGACCGATGAAGATATGTGTATTGAATTTTTCTTTGCAAGTTTAAATCAGTGTAACACTATGAATGTGAGCGTGTGAATGCAGCTTGTAGTGAAGCTTTGTTGAGCTTACGCAAAGCAGAGAAGGGCATCGGCGCGGGGCTCCTAGAGGATGCTGCCACCTCCATCCCCTTGCGTCACGGCCGTGCTGCCCTACTGGTCCTCTGGCACAGCATCTAAGGTCATCTGCCACCACAACCAGGTTGCATCTCCACCGAATGTGACCCCACTTTGATGGCGGCGAGCTTTGCTTTGGTAGTGTTGCTGTCAATTTGGCTGTGCATTTCTTTAAGGGGTTCATCTACGATCCATTGTAGCATGCTGATGACTTTAAATTACAAATGAGTTAATGCATAAGATTCTTTGTTTCCAAGTATAAGAAATTGATATATCTTTTGTTGAAGTATGAGTATGCTGATTTGTTCCAGCAAAATATAGCAATGTACAATATTTTTTGTGGATAATAATTTGATAATGCTCCATCCAAATGTAGTCATGCATCTTCATCAAAATAGACTGTGGCTTTGCATTTTTAGTTTGTTCATTACTAATTATGCCCCTTGAAGGTAGTGACTTCTATAAAATTAATTTATAACGAGCATGTTTGTAACTTGACATTAGATGACCTTTTACATGCAGAATCTGAGACTAAACATATACACTAATCACACTAATCACTACTACTGCTGCTATATATTACTGTTGTACCAAAAATATACAAGTGCATTTGATAAAGGTTATACAGGTCTGGATCAGAACTGTATATTACTGTTGCACCAAAAATAAATTAATGAACTGTAATTTTCTCTGTATTATTTTTGGATGTGATTACTAAAGCTCGCTATGTGTCTGCTCTTTTTGCACTATAGATGTTATGTGGGGCATTCAGTATCAGCGCCGGAACCGACGCCAACAGCCAGAGCAGGCGCCGTGATGTTGGATCAAGTTGTTAGGATTAGTTTCAGTGATTAAGTTTGTTAGGAAGATTAAGTTGTTAGTTCCTGGTTAGTAGCTGTTTGGTTTTCCATTGTAAGCCTATATAGGCCATTCGGTTTAAGTGATTAATCAAGAAAGAAGTTAATCCCAGTTCCTGTTAGTTTCCACCACGGCTCCGGGGAGGTGAGGCGTGCGTCCTCGCCCTCCCGTTCGAGCACAGCTACGCGCTATGCCACTTAGGGCCGGCGCCTAACAATAGAAAATCAATTTATCTCAATTTGTTGCACAATCCATCTATAGCTTCAATTCTATTCTAAGCTATCTAATCTTCCCAACGCCAATCAGCTGCTGCATTACAATGGATTACATTATTGCTTTGCGAATAATATTAGAAGAACCAAAGAAAACATGATGGATTGGTGCAAGATCAAAGGACTGGCATAGCTGTCCACTTCTCTTATTCTTGTAGGCTTTAGCTGGTGCAATGGTTTCAGTAGCAAAACTAGGCTATGATAGGCTGATGCCTGCCTTAACACGCCAAGACTCCAGGTGCACACAACATAGTAGATCAGAACAAAGGATGCCTGCATTGGTGCCATCCTCCAGGAGGAGAAATGGCACCACTGGCAACCAGTTTGGCTGATCGTTGTTCGTTGCCTACCTTGAGTTCACCGTTTAAATTATATTTGACATGTTCTTTACGGAAGTGAAAATTTAGTTGATTATCTGTTTACCAAATAGGCATATATTAGTTCTATAATTTGGTTGTTTGTGAACAAGAATTCTGTTGCAAGTTATAGCTGAAGATTGGTAACTCTATAAAAAAAATTAATTATCATGACATAATAGACATTAACTCTGAACATATTAAATTATCATGACATCCCCACGATGTGCAACAGAATTTAACTTGATATAAAAAAAAGTGATGTTACATTGTTTTCTAATTTGCATTCAGTAATGCCTATGATATTTTACAAATGTAACTGACTTGTCCTTCAGATGCTTCTCATGTTCTACATTGGATGCATCCAGTTTTTATTGCAGCTCACTTTGAATCTTCTACCTAATGCTTCTAATATTTATGCCCTTTTTTATTTAATATGTGATGATTAGGTAATGCTTAGACTAGCATATAAAAGATTGGCTTGATTAGGGTTCTAAAATTGAAGTTTTCTTTGAAACGACTAATGTTATTATTTGCTCTTGCCATAGAAGTGGTTTTTCAGGACTCTTGATAATATAACTATTGGTTTGGGATGATAAAGCTTCAGTTTAGGACGATGAGTGCTGCCCTGTAGGTTAAAATCCCATTTTAACTAAGTTATGTATTATTTGACTAGCTTGCACTTTCACCCTCTTCCTTTAAACATACTGATAGTATCTGCTCATAAAATTATTGTGCTTGCTATGATTTAGGTATTAAAATCACATACCTTTTATAATCTATGTAAAAGATGTACAACCAGAAACCAATAGGTTAACTTGACAGAATTGACCTTTACAATCCTACAATACCGTCCATTCCAACTTTCTTTGCTAAATAAATATGCTGCTGTGTGCATTATTTGGTTCACATACCTGATTATTAGAAAATTACTGAAAACAGTTTGGATTGTTTACCTGTTTGTTTTTTTAGTATGGATAAATCATTACTTTGCTTTTGGTTGGTACCTTTTTGTGCCCCCCCCCCCCCTGCTATTTGAGATGTTTAATTAATTTCCTCATATTGGGCTAAATTTGTACCTGCTGGTGGTCCTTCAGTTAATTCATTCACAGATTACTTGACATCGGCAATTGCTTCTTTGATTCTTACAATCTGAATATATACCAAAAAACAACTATGTTAACTTGCTTTTTTCACATTCAGAAAAAGAACATTACTAGGAAACAAGGATGCTTAATTGTTCTAATATTGTTGAGTAGTTCAATGCCATAAGATTATTGACTGCCAGTATTGATAAAAAAAATTGTATTTTTGCATCACTTCTCAGGCAGCTATGTACACGGGGGAAGCAATTCATCATAGCAAAACATATTGCACTTCCATTTGCACATCAACAAAAGGGCCCCTGTGTGAATTCGGTGAAGGCATCCAAACCATATTAGTAGAATTTAGCCATGTGTAATATAGTTTTATAGTCCTATACTCCTATGTGCTCATCTAGCAGAACTGTTTCAATGCTACCACTATAAAACTACTATGTACTGTCTATCCTGCCATCAAACATGTGGCACATTTTGCTATTTAGGACTGTCCACAATCTGCATATATGTTGTGATTAGCTTTTAGCCTCTATAACAACTTTCAATATAAATGCTCACGTCACAAAACTTCATTTTTTGCACTACACTAAACCTAAATCTCACACCATGTCGTTAGCCTATACTTGACCTTCACAGACCTTGCAAATAGCATTTGTTTCAGTTACCTACCAGAACCAACAGATGTAATCAATGATTTTCCTCTCCTGGCACCACTGGTGCAACGCGCGAAGCGCGCGTTCACCTCTAGTTGTCTTTATAGTACTACCATATTGGCATTAGCACCATATGCTACACAAAAGTATACTTGTGGCTAACTTGTAGCCGGTCGGATTAAGCGAAACGCCACGCAGCGATGGCGATGATACAAATCAGGACAGCGACGAAGGGAGTGGCAAAGGCTTGGAGGATGTTGAAGCTGGAGCGAAGTTGTTGAAGCTGGGCCTCCAATTCCTCGTTGCGGTTAGCTAGGTTAGCGAAATGCGTCACGGTACCTGCAACGGACTGGACGCGGGATATTTAAGTAATGTGCATGTATGGAGCAAACGCCAATGAGGAAATAGTTTAGTTATAGATTGTAATGAAGTAATGCCAAGAAACTAAAAAGATCATAAAACATCGTACTGTTCAATTCCTAGATGCAATTGAAATTGAAAAGTGAACAGTACATGCAAGAAAAGAACAGGATAACAAACACATCAAAGGTAGGCTATCTATATATGAAGAAGGGAAATTAATTCATATCTTGCAACAATTCCAATGGTATGTATCACCTCAACTTGAATTTCATCCCTTTCCATTGAAATATATGATTGTAACAATTGTAATTTATTTTGATCTTTGCATGGACAGATTCTTTCTATTCAGAAATTAACATTTCAACTTTCAGAAATTGTTTTAGCATCGTAACACATACTTATATAACATCGATCTACTCATGGTAAACATGAGTTGTTAAGCCCCTCGACGAATCACTAGAACTTGTTAAGTATACAGTGGCGAGCTGCACTGTAGTTTAGGCCTAAGCCCATTTACCTTCCCTTCTTCAGCAACAAGTAAGAAACACACACCACTTCACTTTACCCATCAGATCCAGAGTTCCAGACGCGTCCCACCCGTATCACCTCATCTCCGCCGCTAGCGCCGTTGTTCTGAGTCGCAACGCTACCGCGTCGTCCCCTTGGCTTCCCTCCACCTCTTGGTCCATCTGCCATGGCCAATTTCGTCGGAGCGGGCAGCTTGAACCACCCACCACCCCAGCGCAAAGGGAAAGGTGCTCTCCAGAGCACCGACCAGGTGTTGCCGTTCTCCACATCACGCAACAACGGCAAGGAGGGAAAAGCTCGCAAGAGAGTGGAGGAGGTATATTCAGAAATTAGCATTTAAACTTTCAAACATCCCTACACCCATGCAGAAGCATCCCAAACCAGTTTCCAAGCAGAAGCACATTTAACAAAATAGGTTCGTAGTTCCACGACAACTAAGTGCACATAGTGAACCGTGATTCCTTCACTATCTCAACATATGCCTCCCATTCGGTCTCTCCATTCAACTCTAGCATTTGCTTATGTGAAATAGGCTCTCCCCCCATATCATATCTATCTTGAATGGATACCACCTTGTCCGACCAACCCAGAATATCCTTCGTACGACACAAAAGCTCCTCGAAGGTAGGCTTAGATTGAAAAACAATCATCTTCACCGACATCCCATCGAACTGACTACCACCATTACTCGACTCTAGGACACTTCCACCATAGTGCACATGAACAACTCTCTCCATCTACAAAGTCCGACCACCTTTCAAAGTAAGTAATACTATTAGTACATCTATTTCAATTAAACAACGACAAGGGTACTAAAAGACTAACTTACACAAGTAAACCAAACTAGACAATGTGGCACAAACTTCATACCATCACATTCATTCGATTCACTACATACTACATCGCCAATGAGAATAAAAATTCTTCCCAAACCCTACATTGGAACCTACCAAATCCATCCTACCAACTAGGGTTCAGTACCGATGAATGAAATCCCCTCAAAATTAACCTATAGAACTCACCTAACCGATAAATGAAGTCGATCTTCCTTGTCTCACAAAAACGACAAACCTAGGGTTCATGCTCTTCTCCAAAACAAATCACCAAATGAAGAAAATATAGGAGGATTTTGAGAAGGTTACCTTACTCCACAACCTCCACATGAAATCCCCTCCAAATCCCCTTGATTTCCCATGGGTTAGAGGGGGATTAGGGCTCGGAGAGGAACGCCGCCATCGCCGTCGTAGTTTTCATGGAGCGGGGAAGGGAGAGAAATGAGAGAGCTCGCTCTCTCGGCCGGGGCAGGTGGGCCTTAATGTCTCGAAGCTCAGCGCCAGATTGAATGACGCTGAGCTTAGACACCTCAGCGCCGAGTCAGGTGGCGCTAAACTTTGACACGTCGGCACACCGAGTCGGCCTGCCATCCACGGTGACACGACATTTAGCACTGGTTGACCTGGCACTGAGGTGGCTAAGCTCAACGCCGGAGCATTTGGCGTTGAACCTCCGGTTCATTTTTGAAATAAGTAATTTTAGGCGCGGTTCATTTGCGAAATAAGTTTTCGGAAATGGGTCAAATTGTCAATTTTTTTTTGTCAGTGTTGAGCCAATCCAAACCTCTAGTGATCTCTAGGCATGACAAACACATCGACAGTTTTATACCATTAGCAATTTAGCTGCAGCAATTGAACATAGTGCTAGTTCTTTTTTTTTTCGTGTTGTTGCTTAATTTATTTCATAACATTATTAGTGCTGGTTTATATTTAACTTTACAGAGAGTTGAAAGCAATTAACCTGGGAACCATCCTTGCAACTGCAGGTGTACCATTCCTTTCATCATCTAGTATCCAAGCAAAAGAAGAGGAATATGCATGTGGCAACCTTTTCTATATATAGTGGAACGCATAACTGGCTTGAAACTTTCATGAAAAACTTAGCCAGCTACTACTCAAGGTAAACACCAACTTAATTAGTTACAAAATATCCATGCACGTCTCCAATTAATTACACCAAATTCGACATGCACACTCAAGCATAGGCAGGCCCCGCCTATTTGCAGAACAGTAAAAAAAAAAAAAGATAGAGGCAGGATCAGTAGACGGACTCATCGAAGTGGTAACTTCAATTGGTCTCTACACCAACTAAGAATGCAAAATAATTAACTGCCGCCTCGTGTCGAGTAACGCGCGAGCGGAGGATTTAGAGAGGATTTATTTTACTCCTATTATAGTGTAGAATTATTCTCTCAATCCCCTCTCCAATCTCTTTCTCGGATTAACCGAACAAGGCCTCAGAGGGAGAGGCCGCCGGACTCGTCGTCGTCGTCGAGCGTGGAGGTGTAGACGGTGTAGAGCGACCAGATGAGGCCGAACACGCCGAGGAGGATCCACCCCAGCAGGTTGTTGCTCAGCCCCAGGCTCAGCCCGGTCCCCTCCGTCGACATCCGCTCGTCCACCAGCGCCATCGCCGCCGGCGCCGACGACGACGACGCCGTCACCGCCGCCGCGAGCATCGACGTCGCGCCTTTCACGGCGGCGGCGGGCGTCGCCTCCTTGCCGTCCCTGGAGGAGTAGCCGCACCTCACCCTCTCACCCCTCCTCGCTCTCAGCTGAGCCACCCCTGCACGCAATGGGCAATGGCAGCTTCCATCAGTGAACTGAATGATCTCCGATTCTTTTACCAAAATTCTTACTCGCTCCGTCGCTAAACATTTGACGCCGTTGACTTTTAAAACATATTTGACCGTTCGTCTTATTAAAAAAAATTAAATAATTATTAATTCTTTTCTAATCATCCGATTCATTGTTAAATATACCTTTATGTATACATATAGTTTTATATATTTCACAAAAGTTTTTGAATAAGATAAATAGTTAAACATGTGCTAAAAAATCAACTACGTCAAATATTTAGGGACACAGGAAGTATACTATAGCACTGTTGATAGCTTTGTGAACTTACCTGACGGCCGGCCAACGACGGCGGTGCGGGCGGCGGCGGCAGCGGCGATGGTCGCCATGGCTCCGGCTATCTCCTTGCTTAGCTAGCAAGAGGCACACAGCACACTACACTCTGCTGGTCTCTAGGTGAGATGCAACGAGTGACAGCAGGAGTGTGGCTCGCGAATCGTGTTTAGTTCTTCTGGTCTGGTTATCCATGCGTGGCGTGGTGTCGTGGTCTATCACCTCTGAGCGAATGGGCGTCCGCCACCTGGACGCGGTAGATTTCCGTTGAAAAGTAAGCGGGCGTTTGCACCGGTGAAGTGCAACTCCTGCCACTATCTTAGATTCAGAAATGTAACGGTGGGTGTCAGGTACAGGACCACAGATCCAAATCCTGAAGAACCAGCCAACCAGGTGAGCATGTACCAATCAGAGTATCAGAACGTAGTAGTATATATATGTGCCAGGAGGTTGCACGGCGTCCGACATGCCAACATGGACATTGGCTCAACGAACAAACTATATATCTTGACACAAGTGTTTCGATGGGAAGTGTCATTGAGTTTTTTTCATCAGTGCTTTCACTGAAGTGACCATGAAAAGTATGTGTTGTTTCTTGTCTAGATCCGGAATACATCGTACAAGACACATGTGTACATGACCGATGACTCCGACGAGCTCCATTCGATGCAGCTCGATCGCCCGGCAAAACGAAACAATATGCCGGGTGGTAACGGAGTCAGGATCAGTTGATACAATGTACAGTATGATACGTACATAACACGAACTGTGTCCCACGAGCCATTTGGCAGCCACCACACACAACCAACACCCAAATACCCCCAATCCTACCTGAAATCGTGTCAAAAGAAAAGAAAATTCCAACCTGACACGAGTGATCGTGTGCTGCAGCTACGAGGGCGTGGACGTGGTCCGGAAGCGCGCCTCGCTCCTCTGGACCGCCGCCATGATCTCCCGCTGCGCCGGCGCCCTCGACGGCGACGTGACCAGGGCCTCCCAGGCCGCCGCCGCCGAGCCGTCCGGATAGATCTCGTGGACGCAGTCGGCCTCGTCGTTGAGGTGGCTCACCCTCTCCAAGCAGCCGATTTCTTCAGGGTCCACTAGAAGGTTGCTCTCGCCGTCCTTCCATCCTATCAGCTGTAGAGAGAGCCAGCGAGCGATGGTGAATTCTCATTTCTCAATGTGCCTGATGTTATAAAACCGGCCCCGATAACAACATCGGTAACCGAACACGGAATGCATTGGTAAGCTCACCTTGGCGGCGCCCGTGGAGTTGGTGCAGTAGAGCCTCGCATTGTCGACGAGGTTGCAGTAGCTGTGGAACGCGGTGGCGAACCGCTTGTGGGACTTCAGCTGGGACTTCACCCTCACTGCTCTCCCGGTGATCACAGCTCTCCTGACAATGTGATTAACCGTGTCAAATTTTGTGCTTATACCTCTTTGTTAGTACACGGAAAATAGTGCAGTTGAGTCAATCGCAATGCTGACATAATGGAAGCGTGAGCAGAAACAGGCAAGATCAAGCAGAATTTGTTTGAGTAATATGAACAAGCATAGTATCAGTAATGTAGACATGTAGTGGAGTAGGATTAAGTTCTGAAGCATACCTGATTCCCCTGACAACCGCAAGATAGGCATCACAGACCACACCTACGAGCTCGATGCGATATGGCTTCCTGTTTCTCGTCTCGCCTTCTTCATCTGTACTGGAGTCCTCAACTGGCTCCCAGTACTCCTCAGTGATTGACCCGTCCTCCGTGACCTTGTAGCCAACACCCATGCGGTACCGTTGCCGGTGCACAGCCCTGGCCATGGTGATCGTCTGCTGGACAAACGGCTCCCACGACATGGTGCCGTCCATGATCACATCCCTCCCTTCGTTGAGGGCAGTCACCAGGAGCGACGAGGCTGCGTCCATCGATGACTGATGTACCTGCACCGGAATCGAGGGGTCACTGACAATGAGCCATGGTATGTCTGAAATGTACATACTCCCTCCGTCCCAAAAAAAGACAAATCCTAATTTCCGTGCCAAACGTTTGACCGTCCATCTTATTTGAAAAAATTATGAAAAAAATTAAAAAGACAAGTCACGCATAAAATATTAATCATGTTTTATCATCTAACAACAATGAAAATACGAATTATAAAAAAATTTCATATAAGACGGACAGTCAACGTTAGACACGGAAACCCAGAGTTTGCCTTTTTTTGGGACGGAGGGAGTAGGAGATTGAGTTTCTTGTTTCAATGTATAGTAAAGATGAATATAGGGGTGGAGATTTAGGAGGTGGGACAGCATCTCCAAGACACTAAAATGTAAATAATTGCAATTGTACATTTTGGGTTGTCATGTAGTGGTCATGTGCCGTTTTACTCACTGACTGGTATACTGGTATTAACATATATAGTATAGTAACAGCTGCTAACAAATACCAGTTCTGCCGTCTGCAGCATGTCATTGTGGTGGCCTCTTGAGCTGATAGCTCGATAGATTACATCAGTTTCCTTGAATGCATCTGCCTCTACAACTACTGCATTTGCAGCTGCTCCGGACCAGAATGCTCTGCAGATCAAGAAACAGGTAGCAGCACGATAAGCTTTCTGAAAAGGCGTATTTTATATTCTTTAGCTGCTCTGGCTTTGATTAAAAAGTCCAAGCAATGTTTTTCTCCTCCTAATTGATTATTACATCTTGCCATTTCTCATTCACCTATTCTCCTCCTCATTAACCTGCTGGTTGGCAGATCAGATCAATGTTTTTAGCTTTAACAAAATATTGAACCACAGGATGAGAAACATACACGAAAAGGGAGATGAAACAAAACACGAACAGAATGTCGAGCATGGAAGTGATCAACTTACTCCTTGAGTATATCCTTAAGCACGGTGCTCTTGCCAGCTCCCATCCCACCACCCATCAAGAGTAGAACTGGGCTGCGATCACAATGTGCTGCTGGGACCATCACATCACTCCGTGGTGCTTCAACATGGGAAGATAGTCCTATGGCCTTCAGCTCCTCCACCAATGTGGAGAATAGTCTGGTCACCTTCAAGTTTCTTGTAACCCTTTCAAATCTCTGTTTCCTGTATTTAGTGGAGAGTCAGAAGCTAGACCTCATTTTGAGTTTTGATGTCAGAGAAACAGAGTTCATCTACTTAAATACAGGGATTGAATTGTAACTGGTTATAAACATGTTTTTCAAGATATAAGAGACCATATTGGATCGAAACTATAAGCATTTTCTCCACTTGAACTTCTCCGGTTAGGCACTTAAGTAATTACCAATGTACTTTTCAAAGGAACATGGCAGGCCAAACATAGGGCTATAGGAGTAAATAAAGAAACCATAGTTTAGCCTAAGCACATGCCTATCATCTAAATCTAATTGCTTTGACTTCAAATGTGCTGTTTCTGCTAAAATATCCATTTTGAGCTCTGAAGTTGATCCAGTGAAAGGTTTGATCAGATAGGAAGAAAATAACCAGTCAATAGAATAAATAATTCAACTCAACCAATAAGCACTTCAAGGAGACAGATCCAACACAACATTAAATGAGGAGAGATTCTGTAAATATATGATACTCCTACAAAAATATTTGTACAAAAAGAACTCCAAACAAGAGATCATACGAGTTGATTAATAGTACATCCAAGTCAAGTAAGAAAAACTTGTGCTGCAGTAAAGCAAGAAGATGCTGCAAGCTAAAGCAACTAATACTTGGCATAAAAAAAAGGCAGAGATTAGGCAATGACTGTGCATTAAATATTTTGAACTACCAAGCATGTAGCTCAAGGATGATTAATTACCTAGTGGCCTCTAATACCATGTTCCTGAGCTTTCTTTTAGGAGCACCTTCTACAGTCAAAACCTGTGAAAATCACCACTGTATCAATACGTAAAATATCAGTGGAGGAGAGTTTCATAAGGAAGCAATAGAGGACAAAGCCATAAGGCAAAAGGTCCTAACTCCTTTACCTGGGAAATTATATAGGTTGCATAGTTCCAATGGAATGAGAAGTAGCCAAGTATACATTTGTCGAGTTCCTCGATGAACTTTACAATCAGAGTCTCGGGATCCTGGCTGTTTTGGAAGAACGCGAATATGTTTTCTTCGTAACCCTTGTTCTTCCTCAGATAATCATAGGCCAGCGTACATAGGTGGGGGCATTCATCCACATGGTCAAACCCAATTTGCCTAGCTGAAAATTGCCACATATTTGTGAGAAAACAGAAAAGGCAAGAAGGACACAAGGTGGGGGGAAACCAGTGCTGGTCCCAAGATCATAAAGGGACAAAAGAATAATATGTGATGATGTGCTACAACTCAAACCACATAGAATATGCCATTGTTTGGAATCTCGCTAGTGGTGTTTCATGGAGTGGAAAGCATAATCTAATGTCTCGCTTCCATTTCCACCCCCTCAAAATTTTCTATGCCCAAGTTGCCGCTAATCAATCTCCACGCCACCCCATTAATAATATGCCTATCTAGATGCGTGTGCTGTGCACACTCGAATTCCGCGCTGTATCCTGGATTTTTGGATTGGACAAAGTGATGAACAAACTAAAAGGAAATGGTTGTAGCGCAATTTCCCTTACGAAATCGACAAAGAAGACAAGGTGAAAAAACATAAATCACACATTCCAACGCTGGAGCATGCGATCCCCTCCGAAAATCGTGGATGGAATTGAGTTCTTGCAAGTCAATGTACTGCATCGGAGAGCAATCCATTCAATCAATCGGAAGCAATATTGCTCCGCAAAAAAAAAAATCCATTGAATGCTTAAGCAAAGTTACAAAGTAATCGATCGAAGGTACTAAGTAGTAGTAGAGCGAGGTTGCGTACCGACGTAATGCGAGAACCTCTCCATCTCATGGACGCGGCCGGAGTCGGACACCAGCAGCCGCGGCGCCGCCGCGGGCCCGTACTCCCTCATCCTCGTTTCGACGCCCGCGCGCTTCAGGCTGCGGTGGCGGCGGCGGAGAAGCTGAGCAACCCGGGGGCGACGGCGACGGCGAGGGCGAGGGCGAGGCGAGCAAGCTGCAACCCCACCACGACGCCCATCCGCTACCGGCCAGGAGCGACGACGACGACGACGACGAGCGCGACGCCGTGCGGCATCGTGCCTCTCTCCCCCTTTATACCCCAACCACACGTGCCCTCCCGGAAGGAAGACTTCGGAGCGCGTTCGTGGTTGTGCGGCCGCACGCGCGCGCGCGCGCGCGCGGGGTGGCGTGCCTCAGTCCCCCCCTACGGAAGTCAGTCACGGGCGCGCGCGCGCGCGCCGCGGCGGCGATGGCGATGACGACGATGGCTGCGCCTGCGCGTGGAAGAAGAGAAGACTACTAGACCCAGGAAGAGATCGAGGCGTGGATGTCCAAAGAAATAGTGCTACTGCTAATGCTATACTTCATCCGTTTCACGATGTAAGGCTGCGTTCATTTAGCTGATAGGGAGTGAGAATGCACACTATTTTCCGCGCGTACGCTTTCTAAATTACTAAACAGTGTGTTTTTTTAAAAATTTTCTATATGAAAGTTACTTTAAAAAATCATATTAATCCATTTTTAAAATTTAAAATAGTTAATACTCAATTAATCATGAGTTAAATGGCTCACCTCGTTTTGGTTATCTTCCCAATCTCCTCAATCCCCTTCTTCTCAAACACACCCTAAATCATTCTAGCATATCACATATTCATATTGTTATTAATAAATATATATATATAAATATGAGAAATGTTACAATAATTTACATTGTGAAACCGAGTAAGTAGCTAGGTAGGGTAGCGACTAGCGAGCGAGCGCGACGGCGCGCGAGCGGTGGCCGGTGGCGGCATGTGCCAACGGCCAGTGGCTGTGGAGTTGGACCTACCATGGGCCATGGCACCCCCGGCATTTCTGGTTTCTGGTCCGTCCCTGACCTTGCCCCCTGTCGGGTGGGCCCAGAAATGATTTTGTCTCAAAGTTTCGGAAGGAAAATAAAAAGGCAACCGTTCTTAGCGTCAATGATGCGTTGGGTCAAGAAAATTATTAGAGCTTGAAATTCTCAAGGAAGAAAACCAAACCATCATTAGCACAATAGCACCAGTGCAACGGCTAAGGCCATGTTTCTTTCAGTTTATGATTATTATAATCTAGATTATTGAGTCAGATTACTATAAGCTAAATTATTATAATCTATAGTAGAATAAGCGGTTAGTTGTTTCTTTCCTAAATTATTAGAGTCTAGATTATTAGGTTTGCAAGTCTAAAGAGGGAGTGGGGTGGCATGGTAGGTAATTTTTCATCCAATAATCTGGAAAAAGCTCACCTAAATGAGCTTATCAGATTATAATAAACTGGACTCCAGATTATAATAAGCTACTTCAATAAGTTGTCTATTTCTTTCAGCTTACTCCTAATAATCTGGATTATAATAATACCAAGCTGAAAGACAGGGCTAAGAATTGGAACACAGAGAAAAACACAGTAGTGGTCAGCATCGCTGATTGCCCTGATAGCGAACTTGCTTGCAGAACGAGTATGATGGAAACGTAAATGGACGTTTGCGTTATGTTTTACGACTGGTAGATTTTTGCTGAGAACCAAGTACTGGAATGGAGTTGCATATACCTACTGCTATGCAGTAGCAGGTCTAATGTTTGTTGCCCACTATACTCAGGAGTCAGGTCAAAGACTAAAAGTACGTGAACATGGGGTAGACTGGACCAATATCGAGATCGGTAATATACGATTTGGTAGTAGGTGGATGGCACCTGGGGGCGAGACTGACCTAAAAGGGCCAAAAACCAAACCACCCTGCACCACCTTTTGAACGGGACTCGTCAAACTGGGTGACCCCGTTGTTGACACGGTTCCCAGTATTTCTTCTCAAAAGACCATTAGGAAAACGGGACACAGTTGATCAGAAAAGCACTCGACTTAGCATTAACCAGCCTAAACACGGCGAACGCTTTACAGAATGCAACCCTTTGCCCTTTTGGAATTAAAAGTTTGGAATTACAGGCCATGACACGGCTCAGACCCAGACTGAACATCTATTACAGGTAACAAGCATTATTTTTTTTGATTGCAAGACTGTATACAGGCGTCATCACGTTACCAGCGACCGTTGGCGTAGCGGCGATGGTATAGAGAGGCTCCATTCAACTCACTAGCCAAATTGGTGTAGTCCGGTATTTGCTGGGGGTATCCATTTGTACCAACTGCATGGTTCATCGATGGATTAGGAGAGCCATTCAGCCAAGGCTTTGATGGACTCATGTCAGACAGGCCATTAGAATAGGCATCCAAGGAGGGAAATTGTCTTTCCCTTGTCCCCTGGAAAGCACTCATGTCATAGGCCCTTGAGTATCCCTCGTCGTAATATGGCTCAGTCAAATTAAACCGCCCAGGACTGCTAGCAGAAGCCATTTCCTGATCTGCCAAATTGCCTCTTAACAAAAACGGCAACGGCAGACCAAATGTATGGTAATCATGACCAATGGACTCTGGCATACTGCCATTGCTCTGTTCCTCCTCAAGCAAATCGTTTATGATGTCAAGGTGCGGAAATTCTTCTGCCACTGGCCCCTGTGGTTGTTGCAAGAGATAATCCGCATGAGTCTCAGCTTGGAACTGCCTAGGTAGTTGCGGTCCTCCAAACCTGCTGGGTATTTCTGTTTCTGTGCCCCTTGCTTGAAGAAAATTAACATCCTTCCAAGGTTGCGGATATGCATGACCGTTGGTTGTTTGTTGGTATGTCGAGTCATCCCTCCAGAGATGTTTGTCAACATGCCTGTTAGCATTCCATGGTTGCCAGCTATCACGTGCTTCTGGCTTTCCCAACCCAGACTCCAATCCATGCCTACCAGAAAACTGATCATTCCTTCCAGCAGGAGGCATCGTCACTGACATAGTTGGTGCATATGTCGACAATGGCTGTGAAAGGGCAGTACCTTGGCCCAGAGAGGTTGACTGATATGCAGTAGTTCCTGAGGTTGTACCCCGCCCATGCTTACCGATGATAGCGTTACGGTAGGTTTGTGGAATGTAAGCTGGTGCAGAAGGGGAAGGATCATTTCCTGATCTTCGAGTTGCTTCACTCATTGAGCGCGAAAGCAATGTGGAAACTTGTACTTGTGTAGCTGGTACAGTTGATCTTGGGGCAGGGAACACAGGGGCACTCGAAGGTCTTGATGCTGTGACAGTAACTTCAGAAACTGAGGGAGATGCAACCCTTATGGCAGCAGTCTCTTCTTGAGCTTCAGAATTAGAAGTGGTAGAAGTTTGTGGCAATTCTGAAGAAAGTGAAGCAGCTTTATCAACTTGGGGTAATCTTGGAGGGACTGGGACAGGTTTATCAATTTGAAGTGATCTCACTGAAGGAAGGGATGTATCTTTAGCACTTGGTGGTGATTTGGGGGGAACTGGACAAGCTTTTTCAATTGGTGGAGATTTTGGAGGAACTGGAGTAGCATTACCAACTTGTGGAGATTTTGGAGGAACTGGAGCAGGTTTATTAATTTGTGGCGATCTTGAAGGAAGAGGAACATCTTTCTCCATATCAACTGGAGTTGATTTCGAGCAATTAGCAGATGCTCTATTGGCTTGCAATGTTGGTTTTGGAACATGATCTTTATTTGAAACTGGCTCAACTTTTGTCTTGGCAAGGGCCATGCCAGATAAAGCTTCAGTACTCTTTGTGCCTGGCATGACTGAAACAGATTCCTCTGCCACGCAATTTGTCACGGGTTCATCCTTATTTGGTGTTCCATTAGCTTTTGCATCTGTTGTACCTTCTGCAGACTGCTCAGGGCTCTTCACAACATCAGGTGTTTCATCCAAAGGACTGGATGAGGGAGATGAACCACTCGTCTTTGCTTCCATGGCTTCAAAATGAGCTTGGAGAAGTTTTCGCCCCTCCATATTTTTCTGAAACACACAGATTAAAGCAAGTTATATCCATTAATAAAAAGAAAATGGAAGAGCTGTTTAGTCTGACGAAAAAATTGAGATTAAAATTCATAGACTCCAGTCATTAGCCATAGGCATGAAATATGGAAGACATACTTATATTGTTTACCTTTTGTAATAAATTTTAAATATGAATTGCACAAGGGTAATGGGTCGAAAACAAATATTCCATACAATCAACATATGTGACACTCATCCCATTTAAAAACAATGCTCATAATATAATCCGTGGAAGGTCGTGCATATGACCAAAACAGAGCAGCTGGACTTCACATATCACAACAAAACAAAGGCAGTTAACTTTTCAAGAAGATGTATCACCTCATGTAGACGTTGCCCCAGCTTACGGAGTTTATCCTTCAAGGTGAGTAGAACGGTATCTTGGTCCAACTTTGCAGATGTGCCGCAACTAGAACTACAACGAGCCGAACCACCAGTAGAACTCGAGGGAATACCCTCACCTTCCTCAGAAAAGCTGATAATGCTTATGCCCTTGTTACGCTGATTTTTCCCTCTGCAGATAGTTCCAGTTAGAGCAGATGCCAATTTTACTAGCATCACAATGCAAGCCTTAGAAACTAGAGTTCACCTACCTATTTGGTGTCATGCGGTTCTTACTGTCTGACAAATTATTTCCTCTGCTATGAGTGCCGCTTGCAGCAACAGAATCAGCCAGAAAGACTGGTGAGTTAGCCTCCATAGAGGAGGCCTTCTTTACCTTTTGTGCATTGCCAGTAACATCACTCAGTCCATTCATTTGTCTAGGATACTTGTCACCTGAGTCTGGTCGGTGAGCAATTTCTGAACTATCTAGATCACCTTGCCTATCTGAAGCACCTTCTTCCAAGTTTTCAACCTTTGTTGTCACTTCTTCGGCCTGCTTTGATGATAAGCCATCACTATCATCAATCGCAGTTTCATCATGAAGTCTTTCCAGAATCTTTGCTTCAAATTTTTCGTCTCTTTCCTTGTCTTTAATCTTACGATTGTTCTTCTTTTGTTTGGCCTGAAAAGAATGATTCAGCATTAGTGGAAAAAACAAGATGATACAAGAGAAAGAAACATCGCATCAAACTATTAAGGAGAGCTAAGGATCAAAATGCATATAAAATTATAGAAATAGAACACAACTGACATGATGAAATGAAGCTATGTAGTGACCCTAAATAAAGTAGGTTGAGGTCTTCAAAACCATAAAACTTCACATCAGTTGTACCTGAGCAATTCACACTAATATTAAATGTTCACCCAAATATATTTTCAACCCCAGAATAAGAGCTGTTCTTCGAGAATGGCACTAGCACAAGACTTCAGAAGATAATTCAATGTTACTCAGGACTAGGAGCTAATAACATTTTTCATTTGGAATGTCACAAGGGAAACCCGATGCTAGGGTCGCACAACAGCAGTAAAATCAGAGAATAATAAAAGCCA